AACATTAACAAATAGTTGGAAAACACAAAGTTGCAGTAGTTGCTTGTGCGACGACGTGTCCCTTTCCATGTGCGACCATGTGTGTGCACAGTTACGTGTGAAGTCCGCTGGAAGGGAGTTGGCGTTATCGTCCACACCGAATTGTGAGCAACTCAAACCGAATCATTAGCACATGTAGATGAAAAATAAGTATCAAGAACTATGGTCATACAGCCATAAACGCACACTCCGCGTCACTGATTAGTAGGTCGCTGTTAACGTTCTACAAAATTACAGCTGATGAATGCGACCCTTGAAAAAAGGCAAAAAAAAAGCTTGAACGCTCTTAAAGGCAAAGTTCGGGCTCAGACCCACTTAATGAGCCTTTACGGTGGCTAGAAGCGCTAGGTACGCAAGTGTAGGGTCGCGTCACTTCCCTACTTCGAAAACCGTTATTTAGACGCTAGGCTCTAAGAACTTTGACACGCTCCACCTGCTGCGACACGCTCCGCCCACCGCTCGATATCTTGACTGCGTCGGAATGTTGATCTGCTATGCTCTCTCTACTTAGACTTCTCTAGCGCTCACATTATCTCTCATCTCCCTGCCGGCCTTTTGAACTTCTCCGCACCGTAGAGGAAATGGCTCGTATTTCCTAAGCATTTCACGATTTCTTTTTCTCTTTTCTGCACTGGCGGTCCACTACCTACCCCTACTTTCACATTTAAGTGGAATTAACTCATAATTCAATCCTGAATCTTGCCTTTAAGCAAGGCGATTCCACTTCACAGATGCTTTTGGGATTGTATGGGGTTTTCACAAAAAAAACGGCGAGAACACGAGTGAACAGACGTGGAGGAGGCGGTAGAGTGCATTCACAGAGAACCCTCTAATCAAATTCATTCCAAGTTGTATTCCAGCCTGAAGGGCGTTTTCAAGCGTGCTCCATAGAGTCATTGCCTCGCCTACGCACATTTCACTTGCCGAGCTTTCTACCTAACCATAAGACTTCATCCACTTATCGTATAATGTGCTCTTTGCACATGTTTGTTACACCACCTTTTAGGAACCTTCGGTTAAAGTCAATAGCCATTCTTTTTCCAATGATGGTCGTCGTAGCTGCCTAGTTCTGCCACACTAAAATGGAACACTGTTCTTCTCATGGCTAGGATATAGTAAAGGCTATGAACTTGTGTGAAAAACCGTCTACCTGTGATTGCCGGCTTCGCGGTACATATATTCTAAAATCCGACAGGTTTCATCTCCCAGAAGGCACGTGCGAGTGGCAAGGATTGAAATCTCATCATCGACAAATTTCAAAATCGTTTAACACCACCACTCTCCACACCTCTCTTTCAGACTATAGGACATGCTAAAAACAACTATGGGGTAAAAAAAAGTGCGGGGCAAAAAGTGTGCCTTTTCACAAACAATGAGTGTGGATTTTTCCATGAAATTCTTGGGTCACTCTAACTCGTGAGCAAGAACTTTTGCTAACCCCTTCAGAGATTAGCAAAAATACAACACTAACCATGTATAGGTCAGCATAGCCTTCGCCGTGACTGATAGCCTAGAATTAGGCTTACTATGCCAAAAAAGCGCGAGGCAATGAAATATATGTGTTTAGAAGACCAGGGACTGCCCTAGATTAAATATAATACTATTTTTGGGAAAAGGGAGGCTTAAACGGTAGCAATAGTAGAATGCAGTAGTGCCATTGATGAAGTAGCGTTTAAGTCGTTTCAGTGAAATATTGGCACCTTTAACAAGCTCATGCTCAATTTTGAGATGTGAATTTCCGGAAACGATGCCACTAGAACAAATCACAGTCCTTCTTATTGCTGGTGTAGTGATTCTCTGACTTTGGTCCACTTCGTAGTCGTTTGGTTGTTCACAAGTTTCGCGCTTATCACTACGACAGCGAATTTTGTCGATAAGAACTCAGGCTGCGAAAGCAATAGCTTTTTATTCAAATACAGTCATTACATTGGAAAACATTCAAAACCGTTGCTGCCATTGACGATCATATTTCCTTTGCTTATGAACAGACGTTTTGCAATAATCTTCTTTTATGGACCATAATTAATTGCCACCACGATCAGTATCTGAAATGAAATGCAATAAAAACAGAAAGAATTCTGAGAAAGCATTCCCAATACTATCGCTTCTTGACCGTAGACTTTCCCAAGAGATGACATCGGCAGTGCCTAGCGTAAGCATCATGATGCCTTTAGCCTACATTTTAATACGTGTTGTCAACGGATTGCCGCTCACAGAAAAGCCATTTGAATGATCATAAGGCGAAGAATGAACCCTACTGTGTGCTCAATGCGGGTGCACCGTTGCGGCCTTCTTGGCCACGCGAGGCCAGCGCGATTTCGTGAGCGTGTCCGTCCCATTTCACGTTTTCTCAGGGGCAAATATACAAGCCACTATGAATAATCAATGAATGAATGTAATACAACCAGAAACAATGCAATGAAATGAGGAGATTATTAACTCTCACTGCAGTAGTTGAAAAGAAAGACCTTCACTTCGGCTGTTCCACAAAAAAAACAAATATAATACCTTTGTGCATAATGGAGCTCAGCTTGTTCCTATTACGCTTTCTATTAAAGCTAATGAAGCATAAGCAAGAAAATGAGGTAATAGTTCAGCACTATGAATGTGATGGCGGCTTGGGAATCTTTGATAACTGGAAGGCGTATCTGATCTGCTGCTAGTATATCTGCTTAGGTACTTTCAGGTATGATCTATAGAAAAATGCAAAGTTCGAAAAAAGTCGTGCATGCGCGAAAAGTGGATCATATGAGTGCAAGTATTACAAGGGATGCTAGTAGCAGAGGGATGGAATAACAATAACCATAAGTGGCATTGTTAGGCCGCAGGTATCTCTGCAAAACTATATACATATGTCAATGTCCTGTTATGTGCAGCTACATGTACATGTACATGAACAATGAATAAGCTTTTTCTTGAAGGAACTGAGGAAAACTGTTTGCCTGATGGAAAACGAGGCGAAGTTATCAAATCACCCCACCACGACAAGATTACAAGTTTATGAACATTATCTGTGAACAGCAGTCAATTCGTCATCACGCCGGCGAATGTGAGTCAAAGTTAACGTGACAAAGATAGAGCGGATGAATCGTATAATTTTGCAGGAAATTCAGACATAGCGAGCATTAGAAATAGAGGGGAAGAGGATAGAACAGAGGAAAAATATAAATAGTTCAACTTAGCATTTCTGAATGCAGATTGAATATTGAGAGAAACTTTGAAGGCAAACTCCGGGATTAGCCCGACCCGTGGGAAGGATACCGTGAAGGTAATTGTAAGGTCCTTTTCTATCCAGATCACTCCATCCTCGTCGGAGTTTGCGCGGTTAGGGCGCTGATAATTACCGCGCAGTTTTTGCGACGAATTGGAACTGGAGTCCGCCTGGGGACTGCAAACAGCCCAGTTAACGCTTCCCACCCACCGCGAGAGGTGGTGAGATCAGCGTGCATTGATGTAGAGATCAGCGTGCTCTCTCAAACGACGTGCTCTCTCGCGTATTTTGTCTTCTTTGATCCGCCTGTCTCGCCATCGTACCACATCCGACCTTATTGAAGGTTAAGGCCTTAATTTCAGCGTTCCCAAGATTTCTCTTGCTTTCTTTCCACTTTCAGGTCGTTCCGCAGCTAAGCTATCACTACAAAGCGCTGATAGCACCAGCTTAATCCCGAAGTAGGAATTATATTGATGGGTTGATTCCACTCAAATGTGAAAGTAGGGATGGAAAGTGGACCGCCAGTGGAGAAAAAAAAAAGAAAATCCTGAAATACACAGGAAATACGAGCATTTTGCTCCATGCTGTGGAGAAGTTCAAAAGACAGGCAGGGAGATGAGAGATAATGTGAGCGCGGAGAGTGGTAGAGAAGTCCGAGAAGAGAGAGCATAGCAGATCAACGCAGCGACGCAGACAAGATATCGAACGGTGGGCGGACCATGTTAAGTTTGGTGGAGTCTGTTAGAAGTCCATGGCGCCTAGGGTCCTAGTGACGCGTTTCGATGTAGAAAAGGTGGCACTTGCTTTGCCCAGCACTTCTAGCCATGGTAGGGCTTCTTAAGTGGGTCTGAGCCCGAACTTTGCCTTTAAGAAGAGCATAAGGACAGGATGGTATAATAAAAAACCACTCATCAGAGGCACATTCTGGGATGAAACAGGTAGGGGTTAATCTTTCCAAAAATCGACATAGTTAGGGGATCGGTCCACCAATTATGATAAAGCAGTATTGCCAAGAACATTTTAACCACTCGATCGAACGTGCGGGGCTTGCGTTCCGCCTCACGAACCCACCCCTGGGCTAGGCACTCCTCTGGTACGGTAATATACGGCAAAGACAGGAGGACAACCAATGAACGATTCCCTTTGCTTTTTTTTTAAATTGGTGACTAAGCATTACAGTGATTTTCTTTTTCCTTTCTTTTTTCTCATTTACACCCATCTCGTTGCGGAATGCGCCTTCGAGTGAGTCAAGTAAAGGATAAACAGAAAGGGTAGAGGAAAGCGATTCACGGATAATGGTAAAATATTTATAGAATAAGTGAAAAATTCTTTCAAAGTGTTTGGAGACAAAGAAACATGCCAAAACATTTTTCCCGTTGCGCGAAAAATACGAGACCCGAAATGCCCTGGAAATAAGCGGGACAGCAGAAATTCATGTGAGAGTAAATTGTGAATTTACCATTCACAAGCCGGCCACTTTTTCCTGTCATTGACAAAATCCGACATTTATGAGCCCATTACATAGCCCAAGATTAGAGTATAGTGTTATCGAGAAAAGTGGCCATCATTTTTATTTCACAAGAAACTACGACTACAAAAAGTTACTGATTAACGCAAGTCATATACGCCTCAGGCAGCACCCTTAGTTGAGTTCTATTGCGCAGATTTCACGTCTGTAAAGTCTGCTATATTAACGTTGTGCACTGTAGTATTACGCATACTTTATGGTGGGTGTTTTACCGAACGAAACCTTGAACTGAAAACTTGTTCAGGTGAAGTTGTATTTCCGTTATATAAATCCTTTTTTTTTTTACTAGAAGTGAGGTAACGTAGCATGGACCTTTTCCTTCTTGCCAACCTCTATCCACTTTTTCACTTTCTAAGGCAGTCTTATGGTTAGAGCTGAGTTATAATGTTGCGGCAAACGCCGCCCACCTCAATACACCCCACTTCAACAACGGCAATTGGCTTTCTTCCGTTGTCGGATTCTTACAGCTTGTTCCCATTTTTTGGACTTCCTCTGGAAACTGGGATCATTGAGAATTTGCTAACTGCTAACACGTTCATTCAAAGCACGCCGTGCCCCTCTTATGAGCGAATTTTCGCCCAATTAAAGTATGCCGGAAAGACCTTAGATAATCTCCTGAGCTGATTTTTCTTCTCCACAGCCCTTTTCCCAACAGACATATGAGTTTTTTTTTTCTATTGAGCACTGCGCTTTTAGAGGACGCCCCGCCCACCATAGACGTGTCTCTGTACTTTGACATGGCGACTCACTGCACACTTTTAAGTGTTTCTCTCGATCTTTGTGCAATTCTATAATCGAATTCGAAATCTTTGTAGTCGTCATCACCTAATGCAGGTGGAACGCCCAGCCGAGAAGTGTTCTGTACTTGATGACCCATGCAACACACATCCCTAGTTTGACCTAGGCTCTGCAGGTAGTTCTTCAAGTAAAACCAAATTTATATGAAAGACGGACACTTTTACACACTGAGAGACTTAGCGCTTTGTTTACAGTGGAGATTTTTTCATTTGCATTTGTCATTACTTCAAAATAAGAAGTTTTTACTGTTTTGCTAGAATGGGCTTAATTGGAATTTACAAGTCATCTCGACGGGCTCTCTCACGGAAGCTACATTCCATACCTCCGAGCGTTTTAATTGGAAACCGGCGCAGGTAATGCCACTACACTGATGTGCAGCTTAGTCACACGATGATCAGTCTCATTTGTGCTATAGGGCCGCTAAGAAAAGTGACAAAGAACGATGAGGAAAACTATGATTCACAACCTAGAAAAAATGTAGTGGAAAGGACGAAGAATTTGTAGAAGCTCAAAGACAAAACTGAGGAAAAAGGCCAACGACAGCAATATATTCCTCCATAGGCGCAGAAAAACAATTCAACTGAACTTGTAATAACTTCGTATAGCATACATTATACGAAGTTATACGATTGGTTACATTGGGGAAAGTTGCTTTGTTCCCCGGCTCGCTCATAGTTGCAACCCCACCAAACCACTTCAGGATATTGCGAGCAGCGCTTACTGAACGCTGACATGTAACATTCCTTGGCCACTTCCAGGTATCTGAAAAGAACAGGAGGATCATATGTAGTGCTGAAAGCCGAAAAATCACCCTTGTTGTATAGGAAAGAAGTTGAGTTGTTGTAAGAAAAAAGAAATATGGATCGTTGAATGGCGAATATCAAAGAAAATAGGATTGTTAGGACGCACGTTTCCCTCCTGCGACCAGCGATATCACTAAACTAACAATTACTTATATGTATCGGCATCAGCAAATTTAAAAACCTTCTTCGAGATCTCTAGAATCACGGCTCGATGTGTCCTTGGCACTCACAATGAGTACACACTTTGAATTTCAACTATTTCCGGAACAATGCCTGGCATCGATTGTTGCCAAATGCCTCCAAGGGTGATCGTAAGTTTGCGAGCATCCGCGAAAACCATGGCTGAGTTATAAGAAACGGCCCATCAAACACCACTATTCGAAATATAATAGTTTTACTAGCAACCACTCCATTTGCTGAAATATATACCGCAGCTGCACACAATTACCCTCCATCTACTCGCGATTTAAAGCAACAATCCAGGAACGAATTCGCGGGTAAGGACCACCTATAATGACGTTGCAGGTGAGAAGTTGGTCAATGGAGAAAGAAAAAGTAGAAAAAAACGTCGGGCAGGGGCTTAGACAGGGACTCCCCCTGCCGTTTAGGGAGACGTGTGTTGGACGAGTTGTCCGAACCTGCCCGTAGTACATGCGCTCCAATTGCAACTGCTGGCAAATAGCCATGCATGCTTGCAAATACATAACTATTTGCCAGCAATCGAAATTGAAGCGCTTCAATTGCGTTCTTATGGAATCGACCTCATACAGCGCGGCGGTCCCGCAACGACCGCTAGTCGAGCAAGCGCTCTGCACAGCTGCTTGGAGGCGGCCCCACCACGGATCGGTGGATCCGCCCCTCTTGAAGGATTTCGACTGCTTCCAACGCCTTTCAGAGGTAAGTTTTGAAGTTTGTGACATTTCCCATGAACTCCAATCAGGCTGAGGCATGTTTCCACCACTTGAAAACCAAATGGTTGAAACCCTGCCTGGACTGTTTAAGTAGATGGCTCTCAGTTAAAAGTATGCCGTCTTTGATGCAGGAGAGGTCGGAAATCTACCTCGAGATAGTGACATTCAACCCTTCCTGTTCAGAAGCTGGGCTAGGGAGAGGAATAAGTATATTCGATCAAGCGAGATCATGGGAATGTGACGGAAGGAGGAAAACCTCGAAGTCGAAGCACTTCCATTATGCCTGATTCCCGTCGCACATTGCCGCTTTCGGTCAATGTTGCTGCGGACCGTTCCTTTCAAGAAAGTGTAACATTCGGCGATTTGCTGGAAGTCTTCCTAGTTAAAGCAGTAGCTGTGTGTGCTAGCAGTGGTGCTGACATTTGAATTTTGCGACGATCGCCACAATACGCAGTGAGATCGGGCTTAGCTTGAGGAGCCAAAGTAGGGCTGTTACGGAAGCGAGTTGATCTCGAAGCATCTACTAGCAGCGCTCTGTATTTGCTCCCACTACTTACTCTATCCTATCCGCCTTATCGGACATTCTCAAATGGCGACCTTTAGATGAAGGTAATAGGGATTTTCACTCTATCCCTAACCGCCTTCGCAGCTGGTCATTAATCTCGCTCGATGTGTTCGTGAATGTGTCAAGCAGAGGGTCCCAATACCCATCGGAGGCAAGCACGGGTTCCGTGGTATGGAACACTTTCATATATCCAGCGGAAGATCAGCATGAATGTGCTTCGGCAAGGGTTTGAAAAAAGTACGCATTTTTTACTTCAAATCCCACAAGAGCATTGTCAACCGCCCGTAACGAACAACAAGGGTTTCATAACCTCAAGTTACATCCGCAAATAGAGGCCTGGCCAAAGGCTATGGAGGCCAAAACTTCTCAACTTGCCACTGCGACTATGTACGACCACAGACTGAGCACAAGCCGAAAAAATTTTTCCGGAGGAACTCTCATGTCTTTGGTACAGATCAGAGTGGAGGAATGTGCAGCGGATTCGGCTGATTGACCTCTGGGGTACAAATAAACTAAGCAGGAGTATCTCTCTCTTGTGGGTCTCGTTGCGGAATGCGCCTTCGAATGAGTCAAGTAAAGGATAAAAAGAAAGGTTAAAGGACGAATTCACGATTAGAATGAAGGTCGAAGAAGGAGTAATTCACCTAGTTGAGGGACCCGCGGACCTCCTAAGGGTGCGGACTGAAGCGCAATTGGCACCGAAGGAGTTGACCTCGGCGACCTATTAAGGCTCAATCTTGGCGCGGTGGGCCAGTGCACGCCCACCGATCATCTGATCACTCGCCGCAGGTCTATACGTGGCGAGTGATTAGATAGGTGAGAGAGCGTAGTGTTGAAGAGGGCACAGCGATGAGAGTCGCATCAATGCTCAAATCAACGGGCAAGGAAGGGGTCCCATTTCTCGGGTTCTGGGCCGTTTCTCATGGTTTTTCCTTCTTTCGTGTACCACTCACCATCCCTAGGTTAATTTGAAATGGGTTGCCTTTTTCAGCGTGAATTCGTCCTTTAAAGGAAAGTGATTAACGATAAGGTGAAAATAGAATTAAGTGAAAAATTGTTCCAAAGTGGTGATAAAGAAAAATGCAAAATGTTCTTCCGTTTCGAAAAATACCTGAAAACCCGAAAAAGACCTGAAAACTGATGCGAGGCAGCAGAAAACTTTCATCCAGGAGTAATGAATGGGGTGTAACCCATGGCACAGGCCCACTCACTGCTATTGCAAAATCCGACCTCATGAGCCTATACAAAAGCAAATGAGAGTTTAGTAAGTCGGGAAATGTGGCCAACGTCTTCAAAGAGACTACTCTACGAAAACTTTAACGTAGTGGCACCAATATCCCCCGAAGCCAGGCGACACCCTCTAAGGTTCAGTTCTATTGCGCAGATTCCACGTTTATAGCGATGGTGTATGACCCAGGAGTACATTGTAGCATTGCGCATACTCTGATGGTAAGATAAATGCTTCGAAGAACAAATTCTTGAAAGTGCTTCTTTCATGAAAGGCTTGAATTCCCCGTCGTAAAACCTGCTCTTTTGTTAGAAGTAAACGTAGCATGGAAGTTTTCCTTGTCGCGAACCTCTATCCACTTTTTCCACGGTTTCTGAGCAGTCTCAGAGGCGATTATAATGTTGCGGCAAACTCGCCCACCTTGGTACACCCCATCCAACAATGGCAATTGACTGTCCTCCATTGTCAGATTCTACCCACTTTTTCCCGATTTTTGGGACTTCTCTGAGCCGGGTCATGAGAATTTGTAATAAAACTCCCCACTCAAAGACACGCTCTACCCACTGTGGGCAATCTTCCGCCCAGTTCAGATATGCCGAAGACACCTTAGATATTGCTCTCCTGAAGCGCTCTATAGGCTCCATAGGCTCTCCCAGCAGAATTCTGAGCTTTTCATTGAGCACCACCCCTTTAAAGAACGCTCCGCCCACCACGGTCAGATGTCTCTAATCCTAATAGCAACTCATTGCACACCTGTACTTACTTTTTTCTTGGTATTTGTGCTGTTATATAAGCGAATTCGAATTGTCATCGTCAGTTCGGCGACCGGGTAACACAAACAGACCTATTATGACG